AGGGAGATCAAATTTCATAACAAACTCGCGGTGGACGAAATTTTTTCAAATGAATATCACACGAGGGTGAAGTTCGAAAAATGATTTATGCTATAAAAAAAAGACGATTGCTCGCGCAATGCTGCGTACGCGCGTCCGTTTTTTGCCCGCAAACGCGGGTTCTGTGACCGTGGTAACGCCCTTTCTTCTCGTTGGTTTTTTCCCACACGTAGTACGTTCTGGAGTTCCTTTACACCGCGGTAAGTTGCAGCTCAAGCTCTCTCGCTAATCGTTCTCATTAATCCAAAAAAACCTTTTTTTTGTTTATGAAAAAAAAAAAGAAAGCAAAAAAAAGTACCATCTATTTGCTCGTTTCGCTCGTAACATTCATCTTACATGTTTTTTCGTATGTCCCATTATATGTAATCTATCTATCTATATATGTATACGTATGTTCATACCCTTAGCCTGCCTTTCTCATCTTTCTCTCTATATATCTCTCTTTCTGTCTCTGTTTTCAGTTTGTTTCTTTTGTCTCTTTCTATTTGTTCCTGTCTCTTTCAATCTTTTTCTCGCTCGTTCTATGTGTTTCTTCCGTTCGATTGTCCCTGGTTCAGCCTGTTATCGATTTGGTTACCTTACCCCGTTACGTTTGCCAATGTTTAATCATACTTCGCTTATTCGACTCATTTGTCCGTTCTCTCGAACCCTCTCCACCTTCTTTTTAACCGCTGCCTCTCTCTCTCTCTCTTTCTCTCTCTTTCTCGCTCTGACTTTCTCTTCCTGTACCTACCTCTCTATCTACCTCTATGTATCTCTATCATCATTTCGACCAAATGGCTGTCGCTTACTATTCGCCCTAAAAACAAATTTCGCTGAAGTTCACCAGTCCACGGTTCGTTATTTCACCTTTGTACGATGCATGCAGTTCAAATATTCGATAATCGAACGAAATTTCCATCGGGTCGCTTTAACGATTGATTTTAGCCCCTAATAACGACACCAAAATTCAAAACCTAAATCGCATTTGTCTCACGCCTTTAATTTGCGTGCGCCTGTCGGTAACAAAACGGACCTATTTTATCAATACAGCAATAGACGTCGAGAATTCGCGTTGATTATCGATCGAGATACATTATGTATATCGTGTGGTGATGGCGAATGAAGCCACAGCCAGAGGGTCAAGCTGCTGTCTCTTCACACCTACATTATAAAAGTACAATCGTATCGAATTGTCTCTGTGTTATCTGTGATATGTCGTCAGATGATCGTTGTCTCTATACCCCGCCGTTGTCCGCCATCTCTCTCTCTCTCTCTCTTGCTCTCTCTCGATCTCTCTCGCTCTCTCCCCCCCCCCGTTCTTTCTCTGTTGTTCTGTTATTTATGTATTGTCTTCTTGTCCCGTTAGCGCTGAGTTTTAGCTACTATATATTTACTATATATATATATACGATCACCCTGTGATATATATATATACATACCGTAAACGGCCATAAACCAAGTAATAGTATGTTTGAGAATCGTGTACTTTTTTACGTAACGATATATATATAATCCTGTCTGGTCTTGTGTTGTTTTTTGTGTTGCCAGGCTTGCACTTTTTTATGTACGTTGTATTTCGTATATCCCTTGTTGAAATTGTCTCTAGTGACTTTTTGTCCTCCCACCCCCCTCGCCCTAGCATTTTTATACACGAACGCTGAAATCTTTATTACGCGCCTCTTGCGTCAAGACCATATATATTCTTGCGTTCCATTTTTTTGTTCAATTGTTCCTTTCCGTCGTTTACGAGTTCATCAGATGATATATATTTACATCATATATATATATTGCGATATGTGTAGAAGAGATACATAATCGTAAAATAAAAGTATAAGAGAGAACACGACGATGAACGAGAAATGGATAAAAAAAGAAAAGAAAAAAAAGGAAAAGAACGTGTTCACGTCAATGTTTATATTTTTTTGTTCGGAATTCCGACGGATCGGCAATGATTACGAAATCGGAACCGAAATCAACACACAGCTTTATGATACATGATATGATACGAAGAACCCGTATGACCAATCCTTCCCTTGTCCCTTGTCTACGTCTGTTATCACCTGTCTACAATGTGCCAATAACCTTGTTATACCAATGCCCTGTGTCTGTCTTTAACCGATCCGTACTATCTAACCCACCGAAAGTATATCTCATATACCAGAACACGACAGAAAACCCTGTTTTGAAAAATCGATTTGTCCGTATCCATTCGTAGTTCACGCCAAAAACCGGAAAGAATCTCGTCGCAAAAGCACGATAATACTAATAAATGTAAAAATATCTCTTCCAATCGACGTCAAATATTTCGCGGTTCGAACGTCTACAAAAGAAATCATATCTAATGAATTATAGTCGCGAACGTGGAACGAATCAGTGTCTAGACAAAGAAAGAAGAAGAGTACCCTATCGAAAGGAAGAAGAAAAATAGAAGGCAGAAAAAAAGAGAAAAGTCGTTGACGCGTTTAAAACTTGTGCGCACATGCGCGAGGAGAAAGAAAAATGGCACGACGAGAGATGTCGCCTCGCTGCTCGAGCAGCGAGTGAGAAAAATCCGAACGAAAAGAGAGACAGAATTATTCGGCATTGCGTCGGAGTGTTGTCGCGCACAAATCTTTCTATTCGAGACACCATTCGTTCTCTAATTTCTCTTTTGTTAACTTTTTATTTTCTCTATGTTAATTTTTCTACGTTTCCATTATTCAGTCTCTTGTACACGTGGCTTGTATAGGTTCAGTGTTCACTGCCTTCGAGAGATCTGTTAGTGTGTTCGAGATCGATCTACATATACGTACAGAATATATTACACGTTATTATATTTCCGTTTCTCTCTTTTTTCCGTTTCGTTCTTTCGACTCGGTTCGAACTGGTTTGCGTTTCCTTTTTATGTACCATTCACTATGGTTTTGAACTTTTTTTACCAGTAGTGACGACTGTGCCTGCCACCTCGCTGTGCTCGTACTTGGAGGATCAGCAATTACGGCTATGTTTGATCCCCAAGTCGCCAAGTAGGTGCGCGCAGCCGAAAGCGTGCAACCGCGTTCACTTTTCAAAACGATGTGTCGTTGATCGTGTATGCGTCGATTCCGCTAGATGGCGCCCGACTTTCGCTTCATGGGGGAATATGCGATCCTCCAAGAACGAATCATGCCCCCATACGCAATCCCTTAGGGACCAATGAATATATGTGTGTATGTGTGTATGTGTATATATGATGTATGTATATATATATATGTGTATATATATATATATATATAAAAAAGAAATAATTCGTTTAA